TTTCTTAAATTAATAGAATCAAGAAAGGTCTGTAGCATTCCCTCTGTTCTACTTTCACAAGTAGATGAGAGAATGGAATAGTGGAGGTTGAGAAGGTCCTCGTCATGTAGGCTGATGACAAAAGCCACGGGAGCAGTCAGATAACAAATGAAGAGATCACTAGCCTGGGCTCCCTCCTCAAAAGGAAGTTCTGGAAGGTGTTTAGTAAGAGCTTGTGAATGTTAACTAGGTTTAAATAGCCTATGCTGTATTTGTCCTTAAATAAGTCTAAACAAGTTACAAATTTGGATTAGCATGACAATGAAACAAAAGTTTCATCTTAACGTTCTGCAAATTGATCAAGATGAGAAAAGAAAAGAACAGTAAATATTGAAAAGCATTGTGGGAAGACAGGCCCATTAGCATAGTTTTGGTAGAGCTATGAATCAATTCAGTAAGTTTGGAAAACAATTTGTAATTATGCAGATAAAATGACTAAAATTCCCATACCATTTTACACAGAAATTGAACTTTGATTGCCTATACCCAAAGTGATCACTGATAATAAAAAATCCAGTCCCCGTTTACATAGTAGCACTTTCTCTGATAGCAAAGAATTGAAAACAAAGTGCAAGCCAATAAATTAATGAACAAATTGTGATATACGTATGTCATGAAATTTACTGCATTATAAGAATAAAAAAATATGATGACATATGAAAAATTTATAGGATCAGATGAAGAGTAAAGTAAGCAGAGACAAGAAAACAATATACTCAGTGCATACAACAACGTAAACAGAAAAAAATTATCACAAAATGTAAAAAGTAAATGTTGCAAAGTTATAAAGGATGAGCATGGTTTCAAAGAATAAATATTTTCAGTTTTTCCATGAAGCTAAAAAAAAAAGATAAAATTATAGCTAACAAAGATGTCCACTATCACTACTATTTTGGATAATAATGTGTTAGAAAGGTGAATGATAGCAATAGATAAGAAAAAGAAATTTAAGAGATAAGAAAAGTACAAAATATTTTCCTTTTGTTGATGACATTATGGTTTACTTAGAAAACCCTAGCAACTCAAATGAAAGTTATTGAAATTATAACTTCAGCAAAGAGCAGGGTACAAAGTAAGTGCACCTAAATGATCAGCATTTCTGTACATTATCAATGAAACACACGAGAAAAAAAGATAGAGGATTCCATTTAAAAGTATTCAGTGTGAAGAATATTTGGGATGCAACCTACCAAGTTAAAGACAGGGACTATATATGTATAACCAAATACTCTACATAAATGCAAACCTAAATAAGTGGAGAAATATTAAATCTTCTGTAAGTCAATTCAGTATCACAAAATGGCAATATTACATAAATTCGTGAACTTAGTTGCAGTACCAGTTAAGCTTAGCTTTAAATAGCTAAAAAAATAATAAAATTCATCTGAAGGAACAAAATATCAAAGATCTCAGGGGAAACAGTGAAAAATGTTGGAAGGAAGTAAGGGGGCTTGGCTATACCAGATCTCAAACCATATTATAAAACAGTAACCAAAATTATTTGGTAGTATTTAAGAAATAGAGAAATAAATTAGTGGAACAGTTTAGGAACACAGCATGTAGAAACACATGAACCTTGTAACCTTGTGTTTGGTAAACTCAAATACCTTAGCTGCAAGAGTAAATGAAGATTATTCCTGAAAAAATTCTGGGACAGCTAGACAAAGGCTGAAAGCAGCTTTAGGCAAGATATTTTTTAACTAGGAGTGCATAGACATGAGAGTGTCTGTGGATAGATATGGAGGGGTCTGTGACCATGAAAGGGAAAAAAATCATGTACCTCTAGTTTAAATTTAGCATTTACTTCAGTTATGAATTTTAAAACAATTCTGACAAGGGGTCCACAGGATAAGAGGTTCATGATACAGAAAAACATTAAGAATCCCTAGTGTAGGAGAAGAGGGACCAGTACAACAATGAATTGGAGTACTCTCATGAACAGTAGGAGTGACATAGTTAAAAATTAAGCAAAAGAAATGAGATGTAGCAATGTAATATTTATAATGTAAAAAACAAGCTAGAGAGGGGCACGTATCCTGGAGGAGATGGTGATCTTCAATGTCAGCCAGGATTCCAAGCAGGATGTAGTAACCAGATCAGCAGGAAGCCCTGAGAAGCCAGAGTGCCAGGAAAAAAAAAATCCAATGCAGTTTTGGACTTAGAGTTTTGTGGGACTAGGCTATACAGAAACTGAGTTAAGCAGTGAAACAAATCTCTCTCCCTTCCTCAAAGACTGAGCTGGTGAGATGATGCCCAAAAGGATTTGGGGGGAATGTTGGCATGTTTGACATGTAAAATAAATATCACTGTACAAAATCATCTAAGTGACTAAATGGAATGAGAGTTCCAGGGGGAACCTAAAATTGATAGAAGGAATGTTATTGGCAGGGGATTGAGCCAAAGGCAAAGACTCAACATCTCCAAACCCCATCACTTTGAGAGGTTCAGGAGGACTATAGAAGGAGGGGCAAAATTAAATTCCCTGACCACAGGCAGTATGATCAGAGAGTCATTGTTATAATTGGATTATACCGTCAGTGAAAGCTAGAAAGAACCTCAGAGGACATTTAGTTTAACACCCTCAGTTTATATATTAGCAAACAGAGGCCCAGAGAAATTAAATTATTTAGTTAACAGGCTTTTCAATAAGTTGTCCTTCCTAGGTTTAAGCATTAGGACTGTATTGGACTCATGAAAAGATTTTGGTAGAGTGTTGTTTTCTTTCTCTATTTTTAAAAAAAGTGTTGTAAAATACAGGCATTAGTTATTCCAGTCTGATAGCTTCCTCCTGAGTACCCAGTGGGCCAGGCGCTTGTGATTTTAGTTTGTTTTATTTCTTCTAGTATGCATTAGTTTTAGTTTTATTTCTTCTAGTATGCATCAGATGAATTAAAAAATGTTAATAGTTGCACTCATCCTCTAAGATGTAGCTAAAAGTTTATTATGTTGGTACAGATATGCAAGGACATCTTTGGTTTTTAATTCAAATTTATTTTTCTTTTCAGTTCCAAATTCTCTCCTGCCCTCTGGCCCCTTCCCCACACATTGAGAAGGCAAGAATCTCAATATCCATTGTACATATGAAGTCATGCAAAATATATGTTAGCCCTGTTTTTATAAAAGTAAACAAGAAAAAGAAAGAGAAAATATATGGTTCAATCTGCACTCTGACTCCATCAGCTATTTATCTAAAGATGAATAGCATTTTTCATCGTAAGTGTTTTAGAATTGTGGTGGATCATTTTATTAATTAGTTACTAAGTCTTTCACAGTTGATTATCTGTAGAATATTGCTGTTACTTTTTGAATCCTTCTCCTGGTTCTGCTCACCTCATGGAAGCATGAGTTCATACAGGTCTTCCCATATTTTCCTGAAACAATACCTTCATCATTTCTTACCATCCAGTACTATTGTAGCACATTCACAAACCATAACTTGATCAGACATTCCCCAATCGATGGGCATCCTCTTAGTTTCCAATTCTTTGCTACCACAAAGGGAGCTGCTATAATTTTTTTTTTGTACATATGGATCCTTTTCCTTTTTTCTTTTTTTTTTTCTTGGTCTCTTTGGTGTATAGACCTAGTAGTTGGCATGTTTGTTCTTGTTAGACCGTTGAAATGGGTATTATTTGGTAAAAACTTATCTAAATGGCTAAATGGATGTGGGTTTTGGGGGGCCCTTAAAATCGAGGGAACCCAATCTGTAGGAGCTTGATCAAAAGTCAGATCAGAAACAACCCTCCCCTTCATAGAGGTTCAGGAGACCAAACTTTGAAAGTGGGGCTTAAAATATTCCTTCCTTTGCTAATAGGCAGTGGGCACTAGAGAATCATTGGGACAATTAGATGATAAATGAGAGCTAGAAAAGTCCTCAGAGGACATTTAGTCTATCCCTTTCTGTTTGACTCATACAAGGACTTTAAGTAGAGTACTGTTTTCTTGCTCTTTTTTTTTAAAGTTTAAACTTCAGTTTAAAATTCTCTTCCTCCACCCCACCTCCCACCCATTGAGAGGGCAGGATATATGATAACCACATTCATATGAAGTCATGCAAAACCTTTTCACATATGCTTCATTCTGCACTTAGAGGTTATCATTACCCTCTCTGAAGGTAGATAGCATTTTTCATCATGAGTCCTTTGCAGTTGTGGTGGATCATTATATTGGTCAGGGTTACTAAGTCTTTCTGAAAATTGGAACACGAATGCGTGGTTTGGTGGAGTTGTGAACTGATCCAACCATTCTGGAGAGCAATTTGGAACTATGCCCAAAGGTGTATAAAACTGTGCATATCCTTTGATCCATCAATACTATTACTAGGTTTATCGAAAAGAAGTCATGAAAAGGGGGAAAGGACCTATACGTACAAAAATATTTAGAGTAGCTCTATTTGTGGTGGCAAAGAATTAGAAATTGAGGGGATGCCCATCAATTTGGGAATGGCAGACCAAATTGAACATAATGGAGTACTATTGTGCTGTAAGAAATGATCAGCAGGCAGATTGCAGAAGAAAACCTGGAAAGATTTGTGTGAACTGATGCTGAGTGAAGTGAGCTGAACCAGGAGAACCTTGTACACAATAAAAGCAATACTCTGTGATGATCAACTATGATAGACTTAGTTCTCAGCAATACAATGATCCAAGACAATTCTAAAAGACCCATGATGGAAAATGCTGTCCACATCCCGAGAAAGAACTATGGAGTCTGAATGCAGATCGAAGCATACTATTTTCACTTGGTTTTTTGCTTCTTTCTTGTGGTTTTTCCTTTTTGTTCTGATTCTTCTTTCACAACAGGACTAATGTGGAAATATATTTAATAGGATTGTACATATATAACCTATATTAGATTGCTTGCTGTTTTGAGGAGGGACAGAGGAGGGAGAAAAACTAGGAGCTCAAAAAATTTTTTAGAAATGAATGTTGAAAACTATATTTAGATGTACTTGGAAAAAAAATACTAAGTGTTGAACAAAAAAAATCTGATCCTGCTTCCTACCAACACATTTCAATATGATTTACACTTTCCCTATCCCTTGGCCCCAAAGTTCTGTACCTAAATTCTCTTTCATCCACTGATACTCAGCTCCTCAGACAAGATGCTCTATCTCCCAAATCCAAGCATTTTCCCTGGCTGTACCCAATGCCTGGAATGCTCTGATTCTTCACCTCTGACTAAAGATTCCTGGCTTCCTCCAACTCCAAGTTAAAAAGACATTTTCTAGAAGAAAGCTTTCTTAATTTGCCCTTTTCTTACCTTTCCTTTCTTGATTACTTCACGTATTATCCTGTATATAGCTTGTTTATACATAATTGTAAGCATGTGATCTCCTTTAATAGACTGCGAGTTTCTTGAGAACAGAGATTGTCTTGGAAAATCCTTCCTGGTCCAAGCACATAGTCAAGTTCCTTGGCCAATGGGGGCATTTCATAAATATTTGCTGACTTACTGACCAACCTGTCCTTTCTTTAGTTACAGAAAATCACAATGAATACATTTACAGATGTTGAAGATAAAATCACAGAAGACAAAACTGAGGTGATGCTCCATTTTCAATTCTCAATATTTGGGGCATATAACTGTAGAACATTGATGGCTAAGTCATTTTATTTCTGAAAGGGATTTTAAACCTTTATCTTGTCCATTTCTGTTTATTATCTTTTGATGTTTGCTATATTTAAAGAAATTCTACATTTTTTCCATTTTCCTTTTTCTCAGTTTGCTAACCTTTTAATAAACTTAGATTTCAGGTAGAATTTATTTATAAGATAATCTTTATACGTATATATGTGTATGTGTGTGTATGTATGTACATACATACATACATATATACATATATATATACATATATATATATGTGTGTGTGTGTGTGTGTGTGTGTGTGTTTGTATACACACACATACATATATTTGAATATGGACAACTCTGACAGGTCCCATACCTCAATCATGCCTTCATTGAGCCCCACTCCCAACTGCTAATATGAAGGGTTGCTGACATCACAAAGCATCTGTTCTGGGAGTGGACAGAGCAGTTAAGTAATGTCAGTCCTGATTGAAGGACAGTGAAGAAGGAGGTGTGGTATCTTTGCTGTTCCAAGGATTTTGAGTTTTAACTTTTGGAGGGTGTTATTGTGGTAAACTTTTCTTCCGGATACCATTCTGGAATTTTCGGTAGGTGTGGCTTTTCTAATTTACCATTCATTGTCCCACAAACATCTTACATTCAGTAAATCCAAAACTGAAATCCTTATCTCCCTCAGGAAAAACAACAACAACAACAACAAACTTTCCTCCTACTGTTTTCTCTCACTATTTAGTCATCCCAACTAATAAACTAGTTGTCTTCCTTAAACACTAAGAACTTCTTTCCCCCCTCCATCCAGTCAGTGCCAAAGCCTATCTGTTGATATTACATTTGTAAACTCTCTCTCCTTTTCTCACACTGCCAAAACCTTAGAGGAGATCTTCATTTTCTGAAACCTGGATTTTTGCTGTAATGGATTGTTTGTTCTACCTGCCTCAGGTGACTTCCCACCCCAATATTTTCTCCATTTGGCTGTCAAAGTGATCTTCCAGAAGTGGTATTCTCCTCAAGTCTGCCTTTTTATTTTTCACAAAACCCTGGTGATTCCCTATCCAATTCCATTTCAACTCTAAAATATCTTTGGCATTGAAAGCTTTTCAAAAAACTCTCTTCACACACACACACACACACACACACACACACACACACACACACACACTTTCCAGGCTTCTAACAGGAACTGGTGCCCCTTAACCCTGAACCCTTCTTGTCTATATTTTCTGGAATCCAGGAGTATTGGGTTCTTTGATGCTCCTCAAACAAAATAATTCCATCTTTCAATCAGAGGTACTTTCGCAGGCTTTCCTCATTCCTGGTATATTCTCCCTTCTCATTTCTGTCTTCAGGTTTCCCTGGCTTCCTTCAAATACAAGCTGAAAGCTCATTGCTAGAAGAAGCACTTCTAGAATTCTTATCATCACTAATGTCTTTCATCTGTTAATTACTTCAATTTTTATCTTGTATATAGATTGTTTATATATAGTTGTTAGCATGTTGTCTTTCCTAATAGACTGTGAGCTCCTTGAGAGTGGAGATTGTCTTGACCACCATTCCTGGCCCAACGCATAGCATGGTGCCTTGGATAGTGAAGGCACTTCATAAATGTTTAATGTCTGACTCACCAACCCACTGTTTCCATGTTTACTGAAACTCACTAAAAATCCATTTGCAGATGTTGAGGGTAAGTAATCACAGATGACAGAATTGAGAAGATGTCCCATTTTCAATTCTCAGTGCTTTAAGCATATCATGGTTATGCTTAAGTCATTTTCTTTCTCTTCAGTTTGCAGTAATATTACCTTGTCCGTTTCTGCTTATGTTTTTTTTGCTATTCCATGTATTTAAAGAAATTCTACATTTTTATTATCTTTTATTTCAGTTCACTGTACTCTATTCAACTTAGATTTCAGGTTGAATTTTTTCATAAGAGAAAAAGAATCTGTTTCCTAATTTGTAAATCTCTCATTTCAATCTGGTTGTAGCGACACTCGAGCCTTCTTCCTAGTTCATGTCTACAGAAATATGTCCTTTTAGAAATACCCAGGCTCCACTTTCTTGCTTTAGCATTTAAAATAAACTGTCATTGTTTCCCCATAGGTCAGCCTTTCTTCATAGCAACAATAGTTACTGGATAGATTTCTGTGGGATATTTTTCTTATGGAAAGCTGAGAACCAATCTGAGGGAACTTTTATTTTCAGGTACACTTGGATGACTTAGATCAGTCATATGATCCACCAAAGAGAAAGTTACTTTTTCAATTTTCTTTGCAAATGAACATTGCTTTCAAACTAAGGGAGTGGTAACAATGTAAAATTTTTGAAAATACTTTATGTGTATGTAATAAATATATGGCAAGAAATTTAAAAGAAAATTTTGCATCTAGCAAAAACTCAAAGGGACCTACATATCACAATCAGGTCTTCATTGAGTCCCACTCCAAACAGCTAATATGAATTGTTGATGACATCACAAAACATCTGTTTTTCTTTATCTCCATGGGAGCAGGACTGAACAGAGCAGTTAAAAAGTATTAGTCCTAATCAGGGGACAGTGAAAGGAAGTATTTAATTTTGGGTTTTCCAAGGATTTTGAGTGTTAACTTTGGAAGGTGATAATGTGGTGAGTTTTCCTTCCAGATACCATTATGGAATTTTTGGTAGGTGGTTCTTTTCTAATTTACCATTTCTTATTCCATAAACATCTTACATTCACTATTTCCAAAATTGACATCCTCAAATCCTCTCCCCTACCCCTATTTCCTAAATGTTTACAGACTGACTGAAAGACCTACTCTTTCCATATTGTTTGAAATCAATATGAATCAATTACAGATGTTCTGAGTGTAATCAGATGGCAGAACTGAATTTTCTGTTAGCTAACCTCTTACTGAACTTAGACTTCAAGTAGAATTTATTTAAAAAGGAGGGAGAGAGAGAGAGAGAATCTGGTTCCTAATTTATAAATCTCTTTTTGCCTGTCAAACACTTCTTAAATATTTCCTCTCCCCTTTATATTACTAACTTGTATGAAATTATGTGATAGATAGATAGATAGATAGATAGATAGATAGATAGATAGATGATAGATGATGGATGGATAGATAGATGACTAAATAGGCTTCACCTTTGCATTTCCCTAATATTTATTGGCTAAGTTTCTAGGATTTCCTTACGTTACTTTTGCCAACTATTGTTTAAATGTTATTTTATCATGTTAAAAAAAAACTATATGCCTTTTACTCTGCAGGGTTGGTTTTTTTTTAAAGAAATCATACATAAATGTATTTTGTGAAAGACTTTTAATGGTTATTAAGATAATTGTGTCATTTGGGTGTTTGTATTTTTAATGTTTTGCTATGTAAATTGTTATCCAAATATTGAGTCCAATTGAATACTCATGGCATATCTAAATTAATCATTTCAATGATTTTGGGGGTTAAATGCTATAGTTCTTTTGATATAGGATTTAATCTAATATATAAAGCAATATGAATAGCATTAGTCTATAGCTCACTTTCTTTGGTTTATCATTCTGAAAGTTATCTGGAAGAATTACAGTTGTCACATTAAAAAATTCATCTGGAGAAGATGAGACTGTCTTTTTAGAATAGGAAATTTTCTCTATGGATAGATCAGTTCTCCTGAGTTTAGATTATTTCAGATCTTTATTTGGTATTATTTTAATTTGGATAATTTATGTTGTGAGTAATCTGTCCCTTTTGAGTTTTCACTTTTATTGTCAGAAAACTATGTAGGAATTTTTTATGGCTTCTGGGATTCCTATTCTTGCTTCTTATTCAATTTCACGTTGTATTTTAGATGATGTTATTTGCTTTTCCACTTTTTGATTGGGTTGGCAAAATAAATATTTAACAATTTTCTGACATCTTGAAGAATCAGCTTTCCATTTTGTTTATCAACTTTTGAAATATTATGTTTTCAAAATTTCTGTGTCTCTTCTAATTACAAAGTTTAGTGTGTGTTGTGTTTTATTAACCTATTTATTGGTACTCCAGTTTTTAATGCATTGCTCAATTAATCCTCTTCTTCTGTTTTGTCAGTGCAGGATTTTAGGACAATTTTTCCACTGAGAATTCCATCGATTTCATTTCCAAAATCTTGGTATGCTATTTCATTATCATCATTATCTTTCAAATCATTATTAATTGTTTCTATGATTTGTTTTTTGAATCATTTTGTCTTTAGTATTTCATGATTAGGTTCCATTTTAATATATAATTTGCTTATACCCCACCCCCAAATTATTACTTTGATTGTGTTATGGACTTTTAAGGGAAGTTATGTTAGAAATTATAAAATCCAGTCTTTCAAGAACAATACCTTCAATTCACACTGAAGCCCAAAGAAGTTGTTAATTGACATGTAATATAACACAAATGTTATATAAGTAAGCATAAGATAGAGGATTTGAGCCTCAGTATACAGATGATAGTAGACCTACCATTATTTTTAGTGTGTCCTGTTCTAATGCTGCCATGATTATTAAATCTTTGTAAGAAACACAGAAAAGGAAGAAAACACATATTTACAGAGGGATGTAGACATTATTGATATGATGATTAGAGCTAGAAACAACCATAGATATCTATGCCCTCATTGAGTCCTCTTCATTTCAGAGATGATTTTACTGAACCTCAGACGGGTTCAATGAAGTAACCAAGGTTTTATATACTTAAAATCCATTGAGGACCTCTCAAGTAACTGTTATCTTTTCACAACTTAAAGAATTATGCTACAGGGTCACCTTCCTCCTTATAGCATAGCTGTAGTTTCAAGATGTTTTTGTTTTCACAATTTTGAGTTTTTTCTGAAGAACAAAATATTGTCACTGAGCCATGCAAGTTGTATGAGATTGCAGGTTTCTTTCTTTCCTTTTTTCTTTCTTTCTTTCTTTCTTTCTTTCTTTCTTTCTTTCTTTCTTTCTTTCTTTCTTTCTTTCTTTCTTTCTTTCTTCCTTCTTTCTTCCTTCCTTCCTTCCTTCCTTCCTTCCTTCCTTCCTTCCTTCCTTCTTCTTCCTTCCTCCTTCTTTCTTTTCTTTCTTTCTTTCTTTCTTTCTTTCTTTCTTTCTTCTTTTCTTTCTTTCCTTTTTTCTTTCTTTCTTTCTTTCTTTCCTTTCTTTCTTTCTTTCTTTCTTTCTTTTTTCTTCTTTCTGGCATGATTCTGTTTCTACTAATTGTGTTTCTACTATTATGCAGGCAACATATTTTTTATAGTTCCTTCTCTGTTCCCATTATATGCAGATTGGAGCATCTGTTTTCCTCAGTTAACTGCAGATAGGTTATCAAGCAGCAGAAAACTCAAGATTTTTCAAAATTGTGTAGTGAACTCACTGGGAATATACATCCTGCTAATTATTTTCTAAAATAGCTATAATATAGGAAGTGTGGTAGACAAGCCAAAAGACCTAGGACCAAAACCAAGGAAAGGAATCAGTAGTGCAATAAATGGGATTCTTCTTTTTCAGGATAAGAAGTGAGTGAATGGATGATGGTCTTGGGAGCACCTTGATCAATGTTCCACTAAGCTCTCTTGATTCATATGATCATTCCATTCAGCACTGCAGCTCAGAGAAGTTGTGTTAAATTCATATCAGAGGAGGATCAAAAGGTTTACAGGGACAGACAAACTTTTGTTTGGGCAGCTCTGTCTGGTTTCCTACCTGTGATATAACCAGGGAAGACACCAAATAGGGATGGCGGAAAAGAGTAGGAAGTAGTTTCTGCCCAAGTACTCCTGGGAAAAGGGCTTGTCAGACAGGGAAAGAGGAGACAAGGATAGATCTAAGACAACATGTCAGAAAAAAAAAAAGATAATGGATTTGGATGGGTCGTATGACTGCATCGATATAAGCAATAGCCAGATCAGGAAACTCCCTTTACAAATGCAATATAGGCATCTTCTCACCAAATGATACTGATAGATGCCTAGCATACAGTTTCAGGAACTTATTCAGTAACAAAATTATTTCAAACAGCAAATATACATGTTGGAGTCAGAAACAATGCTCGCTGTTCTTTGGGACTCAGGTGGACCCTTATTTATGTTCTGTGTGATTCTGCTTCAGTTGTCTCAGGAATCCAATGAGGGTGTCAGATGCAATGGTCATTTTCTGGCATCTTTTATAATTCTAGCAAATCATATCCATTCTGCATATCTCTAAAAATTTCTTAACCTGTCCTCACACTATGGTAAAGTGATATCTGACAGAAGAAAAATATCATGGTCGCTGTGCTTTTTTCCCCCTTTTTTAATGGTGAGGAATACTTCTTAGGTTTTCTCTATAGCTTGTTGACTTGAGTAGATTTCTCAAAATCCAGACTGATTTTTGTCACCTATGTACATACATATAAATGTGTGTGCATATGCATGTGTATATATACACATACATACACACATAAATTTAATTTCTCACATGTAAAAGACACCTAGAAATACAGCATTGGAATACAGCATCATATGATACAGGTAGAGAAAGTTATACTTATTTTGGAGTGAAAAAGCCTGACTGTCTCAAAATGAACTTGATTACTTTTGAAGGACACTTCAAGAGGTCATACAGAATCATTATAAAATTGGTCATTTTCTCATCTAATTTTATAATTAGAATTTCTATTTAAATATTTTTACTTCCATTTCAAAGAAGGTCTGTGAAAAAATCGTGTACACAGGATGGAAAAAGATTTAAACATCTCCCTGAATAAGGAGAATGGTGAGTTCATTAAAATGATATTCACATTTATAGATATCATATATATGCATATATGTATATATCTGTATGTATGTGTATGATAATATACATATGTATGTATATATAATCATTCATGGGAACAATACTAAAAGTTAGCCATAATTTAGTGAAAGAGATTCTGGCCAATAACAGCCCAATCTACAAAATGTTTTCAAAGTGAAATACTTCAAAAGCATATACCCACTAAATTAATAACACATAATCATAGTTGGCTTCCAAGAGATGAATCTTGACAAAAACAATTAATGTACTGGAATATCCAAAGGCCACTCTTAGCCATACCAGGACAGCCTATCTGAATTACTGAGAGAAAAGTTGTTGCTATTTCAATCCCTGAAACAACCAGCATCAGAGGTCCCTTCTGCAACCTTTGCTTTCTTTTGTTTTTCCTTTTTTTAATTAATTAATTTAGTATTGGTTTTCAGCATTCACTGTTATAAGATTTTGAGTTCTAAATTTTCCCCCCTCTGTTCCTTCACCCCTCCCCAAAATGGCATGAAATCTGATATTGTCTTAGATCCTTGCATTGCTGAGAAGAGCTAATCTAACAAAGTTAGTCTTCGTACATTGTTACTGTTACTGTGTACAGTGTTCTGTTGGTTCTGCTCACTTCACTCAGCATCAGTTCATGTTAGTCTTTCCAGGTTTTTCTGAAATCTGCCTGCTCACAATTTCTTAGGGAACAGTAGTATTCCATTACATTTATATACTACAAATTGTTCAGTCATTCCCCAATAGACAGGCCCCCCCTCAATTTCCAGTTCTTTGCTATAAATATTTGTGTACATGTTCGGTTCTTTTCCCTTTTTTAGGATCAATTTTGGATACAGACCTAGTAGTGGTATTGTTGGATCAAAGAGGATGCATGGTTTTGTAGCCCTTTGGGCATAGTTCCAAATTGCTCTGCAGAATGGTTGGGTCAGTTCACAAGTCCATCAGCAATGCAGTAGTGTTTGAATTTTCCCACATCTTCTCCAACATTTTTCATTTTCCTGTTTTGTCGTGTTAGCCAATCTCATAGGTGTGAGGTGGTACCTTAGAGTTGTTTTCATTTGCATTTCTCTAATCAGTAGTGATTTAGAGCATTTTTTCATATGACTATAGATAGCTTTAAATTTCTTCACCTGAAAACTGCCTTTTCATATTTTTTCACTATCAGTTGGGGAATGATTTTTATTCTTATAAATTTGACTCAGTTCTCAAAACTTTTAGAAATGAGACCTTTATCAGAGACACTGGCTGTAAAAAATTATTTCCCAGCTCTCTGCTTCCCTTCTAATCTTTGTTGTATTGACTTTGTTCATGCAAAACCTTAGTAATTTATGGTAATCAAAATTACCATTTTGCATTTTATAATGTTCTTTATCTTTTGTTTGGTCATAAATTCTTCCCTTCTCCATAGATCTAACAGATAAACTATTTCTTGCTCTCCTAATTTGCTTATAGTTTCACCATTTCTGTCTAAATCGTGTATCCATTTTGACCTTATCTTGGTATGTGGTATACAATGTTAGTCTATACCTAATTTCTGCCATACTATTATCCAGTTTTCCCAGCAGTTTTTGTCAAATAGTAAGTTCTTATCCCAGAAGGGAGTCTTTGGGTTTGTCAAACAGTAGATTACTATAGTCATTGACTATGTGTCTTGTGTACCTAACCTATTCCACTGATCCCCCCACTCTATTTCTTAGCCAGTACCAAGTAATTTTGATGATTGCTGCTTTATAATACAGTTTTAGATTTGGTGAGGCTAGGCCACCTTCCCTTCAATTTCTTTTCATTAATTCCCTTGATATTCTCGAACTTTTGTTCTTCCAGATGAATTGTGTTATTATTTTTCCTGGTTGTATAAAATAATTTTGGTAGTTTGATTTGGCACTGAATAAGTCAATTAATTTAGGTAGAATTGTCATTTTTATTGTATTAGCTTGGCCTACCCATAAGCAACTGATATTTTTCTAATTATTTAGATCTAACTTTATTTATGTGAAAAGTGTTTTGTAATTGTGTTCATATAGTTCCTGGGTTTGTCTTGGCAGGTAGACTCCCAAATATTTTATATTGTCTACAGTTACTTTAAATGGAATTTCTCTATCTGTTGCTGCTGGGCTTTGTTAGTAACATATAGAAGTGCAAATGATTTACCTCGGTTTATTTTATATGCTGCAACGTTGCTAAAGTTGTTACTTATTTCAAGTAATTTCTTAGTTGATTCTCTAGGATTCTCTAAGTATACCATCATATCATTTGCAAAGAATGATAGTTTCATTTCTTCATTGCCTATTCTAATTCTTTCAATTTATTTTTCTTCTCTTATAGCTGAAGCTAACATTTCTAGTACAATGTTGAATAACAGTATGGTGATAATGGATATCCTTCTTTCTCCCCTAATCTTATTAGAAATGCTTTTAACTTATCCCCATTACATGTAATGCTTGCTGATGGTTTGAGATAGATGCTACTTATCATTTTAAAGAAAACTGCATTGATTCTTATGTTCTCTAGCGTTTTTTAATAGGAATGAGTGCTGTATTTTATCAAAATCTTTTTCTTTTTCATCTATTGAGATAATCATATGATTTGTTAATTTTGTTGCTGACATGGTCAGCTATATTGATAGTTTCCTTAATGTGGAACCAGATCTACATTCCAGGTATAAATCCCATCTGGTCATAGTGTATTATCCTTGTGATAAGTTGTTGTAATCTCTTTGCCAATATTTTATATAAAAATGCTGTTTCTATATTCATTAGGGAAATTGGTCTATAATTTTCTTTCTCTGTTTTGGTTCTTCCTGGATTAGGTATCAGCACCATATTGGTATGATAAAAAGAATTTGGTAATACTCATTCTTTGCCTATTTTTCCAAATACTTTATATAGTACTGGAATTAATTGTTCTTTAAATGTTTCATAGAATTCACTCATAAATCCATCTGGTCCTGGAGATTTTAGAGAGTTTATTGATTTGCTGAATTTCTTTTTTTGAAATAGGGTTATTTAGGTATTTTATTTCCTCTTCTGTTAATCTGGGCAATTAATTCATATTTTTGTAAATATTCATCCTTTTCAGTTAGATAGTCAGATTTATTGGCATGCAGTTGGCTAAATAGCTCCTAATTATTGTTTTAATTTCCTCTTCAATGGTAGTGAATTCACCGTTTTCATTTTTAATACTGGTAATTTGGTTTTCTTCTTTTTTTTTAAATCAAGTTAACCAAAGGTCTATGTATTTTATTGGGGTTTTCCCACAAAACCAGCTTTTATTTTTATTTATTAGTTCAATAATTTCTTTTAATTTCAATTTTATTAATCTCTCCTTTGATTTTCAGAATTTCTAATTTGGTATTCAATTGGGATTTTTTTAATGTGTTCTTTTTCTAACTTTTTGAGTTGCATGTCCAATTCATTGATCTCCTCTTTGTCTGTTTTGTTCATGTAAATATTTAGAAATATAAAATTTCCGCTAATAACTGCTTTGGTTTCATCCCATAAATTTTGGTATGTTGTCTGATTATTGTCATTCTCTTTGATGAAGTTATTGATTATTTCTATGATTTGTTGTTTGACCCATTCATTCATTAGGATTAGATTACTTAGTTTCTAATTAATTTTTAGTTTATCCTTCCATGACTCTTTATTACATGTAATTTTCATTGCATCATGATATGAAAAGGAAGTGTTTAGTATTTCTTCTTTTCTGCTTTATATTGTAAAGTTTTTATGTCCAAATACAGCTCCCCTTCCTTTTCTTTCCCCTTTCCCTTCTTATAGGATAAGGTAGGTTTCCATGTCCAATTGAGTGTGTATATTATTCTCTCTTTGAGCCAAATCCAGTGAGGGTAAGGTTCAAGCAATTCTTGCCTCCCTACCTTCTTTCCTTCTACTGTAATAGGTCTTCACACCTCTGAATGTGATGCAATTTACCCTTTTCTGCCTTCTCCTCTTCTCTTCTCTCAGTACAATCATTTTTTTCCACCTCTCAATTAATTTTTTATCAGCAAATCAAAATCAACTTATACCCACACCCCTCGTATGTGTATACACTCCTTCTAAATGTTATAATAAAGATACAGTTCTCAGGAGTTACAAGTATCATCTTCCCATGTAGGGATGTGAACAGTCTCACCTTATTGAATAGCATGTTTTTTTCCTTTCCTGTTTACTTTTTTA